TCGGTGGTACGAAGGAGCAGACTTAACAGAAACACAGATATATGACAAAGCGGCTCCCTCGTGGGTTGTTGTGTTCTCCTGTCTTTTAACAGTCATCTGTCTGAACTGGTGGGCTGTTCACACGTGACAGCTTGACCCACGAGTCAGTTTGTTGTTGAACATACAGTACAGTGAGTGTGTGTTTCTGTGGGAGTGTGAGAATATAAGACAAAACAAAACCTCAGCAGAACCAACAAAATGCATCAGATTAGTGTGACGGTTCAGTGATGTATGCTTTTTATTTTAATACTGAAGAGTATGGTAAATAAATAAAATATATAAGGGAAAGAGTTCTAATTTGTTTACCATGTGGTTTAACCTGTTGTGAGCAATATCTGACAGCGTCATCTGCTTTCATTTGAATCTTTACAACTTTCAGTTCAGTAACAAATAAACAGAAGAGAAACGGTCTAAATGTGGCATTTTTTGTGCCTATTTTAAAATATTAAACCATGTTTAAAAACCATGACAAAAAATGAACAAAGATGAGTTTGAGGTAAATAGTTTTGTAATTCATTCTAACAAGTCAAAAACAAGCAAACAAACAAACAAGATGTCTGCCAATAAAACAATAAAACCTGGATTAAGGGTGATCAACATACATGTGTTGCTTGACACAAAGCAGATAAAAGATGTGGAGAAAAGCAGTAATACTGACTCACCTGCCACTTTATTAGAGTTACCTATTGGATTGATAGTTAATGCAAATCAGCCAATCACATATCGGCAGCTCGTTGCATTTTGATACCAATGGGCTGGTTTGCATATTTCAAAAATTGCTGATCTACTAAATATTTCCACCCATGACCATCACTGAGAACAGTCCAAAAAGGAAAGAGCAACCCAGTGTGCAGAAGTCTGTCCGTCCGTTTTCTGCCACTTATCCGGGTCGGGTCGCGGGGGCAGCAGCCTAAGCAGAGAGACCCAGACTTCCCTCTCCCCAGCCACTTGGACCAGATCCTCTGGGGGAATCCCAAGACGTTCCCAGGCCAGCCGAGAAACATAGTCCCTCCAGCGTGTCCTGGGTCTTCCTCTGGGTCTCCTCCCAGTGGGACATGCCTGGAACACCTCACCAGGGAGGCGTCCAGGAGGCATCCTAACCAGATGCCTGAGCCACCTCAACTGTCTCCTCTCGACGTGGAGGAGCAGCGGCTCTACTCTGAGTCCCTCCTGGATGACTGAGCTTCTCACCCTATCTCTAAGGGAGAGCCCAGACACCCTGCAGAGGAAGCTCATTTCAGCCGCTTGTATCCACGATCTCGTTCTTTTGGTCACTACCCAAAGCTCGTGACCATAGACCAGGGTAGGAACGTAGACCGACCGGTAAATCGAGAGCTTCGCTTTCTGACTCAGCTCTCTCGTCACCACGACAGACCGGTACAGCGCCCGCAGAAGCGTGGATGAAAATATTTTGTTTGTGTCAGAAGTCGGAGGAAACTGGGCAGATTGATTTGAGACGACAGAAAGGCAACAGAAGCTCAAATAATCACAGGTCTGCAGAACACCGTCTGTGAACACACATGTCGAACCTTGATGAAGATGAGCTACAGCAGCAGAAGACCCCACTGAGTGCCTCACATTTCAGCTAAGAACAGGAAACTGAGGATACAATTCATACAGGTTTACCAGAACTGGACAAGAACAGATCTGGATTCTCTGGACTCCAGCTGTCTCCACAGATATTAATCCAATCTAGCACCTTTGGGATTTGGACGAACTGTGGGATTTTATCGTAGCAAAATGAACCAACATATCTGAGAAATGTTTCCAACAACTTGTCAAACCTACACCACAAAGAGTTAAGGTAGTTCTGAGGCAAGCCTGGTTCTAGCATGATGTACTCGCTGGTTTTGCTCCAGGTTTGATTTACTGAAGAGGTCCTCAACCTTCTGCATGTTTTAGACGTGTCCCTGCTTCCACACACCTGACTGAAATGAACGAGTGATTAGGTTTCTGCTAAACCTGACGACAGTCTGAGTAGGTGATTTAATGATTTGAATGAGGTGTGCCGAAGCAGGGAAACAGCTAAAACATGCAGGACACTGGGTCACGGGGAGCGGAGTTGAAGACCTCTGATTTACACAACTTTGGCAGCAAGATGGATTAGTGGTTAGCACTGCTGCCTCACAGCAGAAGGTCCTGGGTTCAATTCCTGTCTCAGACCTGAGGTCTTTCTGTGTGGAGTTTACATTTTTTCCTCCTGTTTGCAAGTGTTTTCTTCAGGTACTGGTCCAAAAACATGCTCGTCAGGCCTAGGCCTGCCTTGTATCGGGCAATGGGAAATAAAGGCTAATATTCATTAAATAGTTTTACTAAAAATTCACACTCATGATCAGTTTAAAAAATGTGTTGTGTTGATGCTATCCTGTCTAATTCGTCCCAGGTTTAGAAGGGAGGATCATTTCTTGGTAATTCCTACCAACCGCATGGTGGCACTGGAGGAAGGCAGAAAAACAAAGTAAACAAATGAAAAGCTACTGAAAGGAGGGAAAGAAGACATGACAGTGAAAATCAGTGATGGGACTACAAACCTAACAAGCATCCAGGCAGGTAAGCCATCAGTCAGAGTTGGAGTGATGAGGCTGATATAGTCAGACCATGGGACATGAACACAGAAGGATCTGGTGTTCCGTCTCAGAGTACAGTGCTGCTTTCTCCTCTTCCAAGTTGGGCCCTCAGGCGTGGCCCAGTCTGCTCCCTTCCTCCTTCTTACCACCATATGGAGACAACAGCTTACATGCCAGTATCAAACACAGCCTCTGTGCATTTTCTCCCTCAACAAACCATATTCATTCGATCCAATTTGTCTGTATTTTTGTGACTTTGGAAGAAAGGCGAGTGCTATGCAGTGAGGGGTACCTGCTCTCAGGTGGACTGAAGTGCAGAGCAAATAAAGATGTTTTACTGCTTTAAAGATGGAAATCCTATAGCCTGAAGAACTCGTCAACCCCCCGCCCCCCCCCCCCATTCTTTTACTTCCCTCACTTACCCTCCAATCCACCACTGTCTCCATCTTTCACTTTCTCTTTATCTCATTCTTCTGTCTGCCTGTCCTCCAAAAAAGCATTTCATGCTGACCAGTCTGCGATTTGATCACGCTTGCTTTGGTCATTACATCACAGTTATTGAGCTGTTGGTACAGGAAATAAAAGATGAGGGGGAAAATGAAGAGAAGAAGGAAGAGAGAGAAAAAAAGAAGCGACGGATGAAATGTAGGTCAGTGGAGATGTGCTCGGGGCAGTTTCTCTCTCTGTGTTTCCCCCTCTGTTCGGCTCCCTCCCTGGGCCACAGCTAAAGAGGCTAAGGGAGACGAGGGGTGAAAGTGCCTCTCACCCACACCTGCCTCTCTGCGAGCTCACCTCACGCAGACGGACAGAGTTTCTCATGAGGAGCCTTTCTAATGACAGACGCTGGGCGCAGCGTGTGATGCTAACGGCGAGTGACAGGAGTGGCTCTTTTCAGCCCAGACAGTGAGCCACGCAAACTTCTGCACACTTGTGACAAAATTATGATGGTTTTTGGCAAAAATTTTGCAGAGTGCAGCACCAGAGGTCACAGGTGAGTTCTGTTCAGTCAGATTCTACCTCTGTGACCATCACAAAGCACATTAAATTGAGGCTTTTTTATTGTTGTTTTTCTTTTTAATTAAAGTTTACATGACTGTGCCATTAACCTAAATCTTAAGAGTTCTCACAATATCATAAAAGGTCTTGCAAAGTTTGATCAAACTGGGTATAACTTTGTTTCTTATCAGCATAAACGATTTTAGTCTAAAACTCTGGCATAAAAACCAGCAGATAATGTGCATTCTGGCAAGAAATGCTAAGGCTTTAATTTTGAAATTTTTGTTTTTACCAACAGGAAATTAAATGACATCATGTGAGTATAAAAACCTCATAAATTAAAATCTCTAATGGTTTGTCTAATCAGTTATGTACTCAGGACATCATTATTATGATTGAGTTGTAATTTTCTAAAACAGTAACATGAAACATGCCGAACATGTGGAAACATTTCCATTTGCACATCCTCTGAATAGCAGCTTTGCATGTTTGATCATGTCTGCATACATTAAGGCCCTGCAGCCCACATACAGTGCAGCGATGCTCTGTATGTGCAACTATACTCTTTCACTTTCCACGTCATTATTATAGTGTTCCTAAAAGGAAGAGGACCCCGCCCTGATAACCATCCTGAGGACACCAGAGACAATTCATGTCATCTGAGCTGCTCTTTTTTTATTTTTTTCTTCTCACACGTAAAGTCTATTCAACATATTCCTTATTTAACCTCGGGAGGATAAAGGCAAAGTTTTTTTATGAAATAGTTTTAGATAATCTTTTTATGCTGTGGTTTTATACTTGGTTTGAAAATCTGCAGTTTTTGTAAAGAATGAGCATTAAACTGGTGTAGTCAGAATGAATGTGGCATCATTTTTACACATCTGCATCGTCGATTTGGATCAAATTAATTAATTTGTTTATGGTTTCAATCTGTTTGTCAAGCATGTAAAGAAAAACAAGACTTGATATAAACACTTGCACACATACAGCATGTTTACCCACATAATCAATAACTCACTCAGCAACTCATTCATACATGCTCACTCACATTCACTATTTACAAATCAGTAAGGATAAAACTAGTGAGGATCAGGTTTATCTTTAACTAAATGCTTTTGATGATCATTAGTGTAAACTGTTTTTGAAGCTGCATGGTCAATTATGTTAAATTTAAAGTAAGCGATGACAGATTTAATCTAACGCATGAAAACAGTTTTTTTTTTCTATTTTTTTGCACAGGGCTGATTGAGGGTTATGATGAAAACTTTCGTGTGTGTGTGTGTGTGTGTGTGTGTGTGTGTGTGTGTGTGTGTGTGTGTGTGTGTGTGTGNGTGTGTGTGTGTGTGTGTGTGTGTGTGTGTGTGTGTGTGTGTGTTAAAGCTCCGAGCTGCAGGCAGATTGCAGGAGAGAGTGGGAGGAGCGGAAAGTGCTCCGGTCCAATCCGGGCCGCCGGGTAAAGCCTCTCCTCTCCTCCTCTCCTCTCAGCCCGCAGACAGACAGCAGTGAAACCCTCCCCGCAGAGGTGAGAGCGCAGATGTCATGAGAAAAGCGGCCGCACGACCAGAGCAGTCCGACCGAGCCCTGCCCGCCCGCCTGCGCCCCGCTCTGGGATGCTTTTAGCGCACACGCGCTCCCGCTCAGGGCCGCCGGTGGACTCGCGCCATCCCCGCTCCTCTCATCGTTGTTGTTCATCTTGTCATTTTTAAAACCAGGATCAGCAGCAAGCAGCAGCTCCCCCACCTTTTTAAGTGTTTATTTTTATTTCTTCATGACTGCTGCGTTGGGAAGCGAGCCTCAGCACCAGCTCCAGCAACACGATGCGAGGTAAGACCGTGCACCTTCCTCCAGTCTTTTATTCCTCTTTAGTTTCAGACCTGTCACGGTGCGAATTGGACTCAACGGCACGAAGAAGAAAAAAAAAGTTTATTTCTGTTTGTTTGGACTCGGAGGTGTGTGTGTGACCACGGATTAAAATAAGTGGCGGATGATTTGTGATGCAGATTATCTGCTGAGACATGAAGTTATTTGGTTCCAGGACAGAGCTGTGGTCAGCTGTGCGCTCCACTAACCCATTTCCTCCCCACGCGCCGAGTCTGCCCCGCGCCGTGGATGGAGGTTCAACTCCAATGTCAGGGTCCTGTGCGCGCGCGCACACACACACACTTTCACACATGCGCGCGCTCCGTCTCAGAAACCTACTGACACACAGTCTAAGTGCAGGTAAATCTATTTCTTCAGAGGATTTATCAGCTTTCTTTCAGTAATTCATTTCTCCTTTGTAATTCTGTTGTTGCAATTCTTTAATATTTCTTATGCAAACTTGAAACTTGCTTAGATTGCTGCCACATTTAGCCTTAAATACTTTTTATGTTTTATTTTATTTATTTATTTATTTATTTCATTTATTTTTGATGGAGTGTTCATTTTAAACTGGCTAAAACTTTTTAACTAATTGGCATTTGACAAGAAAAAGTTGCCTTGTTTCGTTCTGGAGGGACTTTCTTCCAGTCCACCTGTGGAAAGTTAAAACTTCACATGAAAGTGAGACTTGTGTTTCTGCGACGAAGTGTCTGGCCAGTTGTCACAAAATAAATTAAATTTTAAATGAAACACTTTGATTATGACAAAATAATGACTTTTTTGTACTAAACGTAATGTGTAATGGATCAGTTATTTACCAGGGAATAAATATTGTGTAAAAATTAACACAGGGCTGCGGTGGCGGTGGTCCAAACCCAGGTTGTGTCAGGTAAGACATAACACAACTGCCATATCTTTCGTGCATTTTTCTTTCTCTGTGACTCCTGAAGAAGGGAGCAGAAACACGTAAAAAGACATTTACTGTAATAATATTTGCAGGAAGAAACAGGAATGATAAAAGTTACGAAGCAATAATTATATCAAATTGAGGCTGTAGGTTTAAATTTCATTTTGATTTTTTTAATTTAATAAATGGAAAAAATTGAGCAAAAACTTTATCATTAAAAAAAATTTCGCTTCAGGCCCTCAGACCCTGGGCCCTGAGAAGGCCGACCCCCCAGCCCTCCACCCACTCCTCACCTCTCTCCTCCTTCTGTAATCCCATGACAAACTCCTCTGTCATCCACCTTGTATTTTATCTGCGTTCTAATGGGTCATGCGTCCACTCTCGTGCACGAGAGGGTTTTTTTTAAGGGGGGGGGGGGGGAGCATACCAAAAGCTTTTACTTTATAGCCATGGATGGAAGAAGAGGCCCCCGAAGCGTCTCCCTCACCCCTCTTTCAGCATGTCTCTCCCTCTTTCTCCCACTCCCTCCTCTCTCTCTCTCCCTCTCTCTCCATCTTCCTCACGCCCCAAAGGGTTTTGTCAGATAGAATTAAATCAGTGTGGGCTGTGCGGCCCCCTCTCCCAACCTGCGTTTGTGTGTGAGTGTGTGTGTAGTCGCAGCTGCCCTTACACAGAAATGTGCTCACAACCAAGGTTATAAAAAATAGAGGCCTCTCATGAGCCGTGGTAATTAACATTTAACAAAAGCTACAACTCCTGAAGCCCTGACCGAAGGTGATGTCACTGCATCACCCGGAAAAAGAAAAAATAACACAATATTATCATAGCGACCTTTTCAGGATCTCAGAAAAATGAACCGTTGTATTTGTTTTTAAAAGCTTCAGATTCATTTTTAAATAAGGTCATTCTTGCTGAGTTTTAAAGTGTGCAACGCGATGATAATGTGCTGTGGAACCAATAACTTACGAAGTAAAAACACATTTGCAACAATGGCAGCATGTATTTTCAAGTGGTGAAATATTTAAATGGTAGCAGAGCGCCTAATTGTTTTAGCCCTATATTTTTAACAGTCTTAAGAAAAACAAAGAAAAATTATATTTTACTATCATGGGGGTATATTTAGACTTCAGTCTCAAACTGGGTCATTAAAAAAGTTCAATACTTCTACATCGTTCACATCTTTATATCAAATATTTTAATTGGTTATAATCAATATGAGTTCAAGGCCTAAACAGACATTTCTACTAAAGACTAAATACACACAGTGTTCGTTTACAATAACAACACCGCACAAACATCAATCGACTTTGTTCACTTATATTATGCGTGTCAATACTTGCTTTTTCTGAGTGATGCTTTTATTAGTATATTAGCTTCTCTCTCTCTCTCTCTCTCTCTCTCTCTCTCTCTCTCTCTCTCTCTCTCTCTCTCTCTCTC